ATACACAGGTGACTCCAATTATGAGAAAGGGTATTTAAGGGGGCAATAGTAAGTTTTTCTCCTCTTTGCATCTTCTCTGAATTTGCAGCTGGGAGTCTCAAAACAACTTTCAAATGAGCTGAAAACAAAGGTTGTTCACCGTCATGGTTTAGGGGAAGGATACAGAAAGCTATCTCAGAGATTTCAGCTTTCAGTCTCCACTGTGAGAAACATTGTGAGAAAATGGAAGACCACAGGCACAGTTCAAGTCAAGGATCGAAGTGGCAGACCAAGACAAATCTGGACTAAACAGAAGTGAAGGACGTTGAGAACAGTCAGAGTCAACCCACAGACTGTGTGGCCAGTATAGGGACTGGGAATCTTGTTAAAGTTGAGGGACGCATGGATTCCAATCAATATCAGCAGATTCTGGAGACCAATGTCCAGGAATCAGTGACAAAGCTGAAGCTGCTGAAGCCGGGGCTGCATCTTCCAACAAGGAAGATTACAATCTTCCAATCTACAATAAGTTTTTAGTTAAATGAGTTACAACAACACCTAATTTCCCTCTGGGATCAATAAAGTATTTTTGAATTGAATTGAATTGAACTAAAGACAACGACCCTAAACACTGCTCAAAATCTACTAAGGCATTCATGCAGAGGAACAAGTACAACGTTGTGGAATGAACATCTCAGTCCTGAGACCTGAATATTATTGAAAATCTGTGGTGTCACTTAAAGAGAGCTGTCCATTCTCAGAAACCATCAAACCTGAATGAACTAGAGATGTTTTGTAAAGAAGAATGGTCTAAAATACCTTCAGCCACAATCCAGACTCTCATTAGAAGCTATAGGAAGTGTTTAGAGAATGTTATTTCTGTGAAAGGAGGATCTACTAAATATTGAGTTTAGGTTTGTTTTTTGTTTTTTTTGTTTTTCTGGTGCCCAAATTTATGCACCTGCTTAATTTTGTTTAACCAATTATTGCACACTTTCTGTAAATCATATCAACTTAGTTTCACTTCTCAAATATTGCTGTGTTTGTCCCCTATATGATACATTTAACTGATTTTTTAATCCAAAGAATCAATGATTTATAAAGGTAAATCAGGAAAATTAACAAGGTTTCCCAAACATTTGCACCCCACTGTAGTTCTTTAAGCAGCTACTAAGTCAAGATGTTAGACATTTAATACAAAAACATTAGAAAATGTGCTTGTGTGGCCTTTCCTGTGCTATACTTGTTCATATTGATTGATTGATTGATTGATTGATTGATTGATTGATTGATTGATTGATTGATTGATTGATTGATTGATTGATTTTTCCAAGTTACACCTTCACATTGTTTTGGAAAGAGATTTATCTTTGACTCCAAAGTATATTGTATTGTACTACATCAGTATCTTATTTTAACTTCACTTCAGTATTTTCTGTCCCTTACTCCTGTATACCCCCAAATACACTTACCTGTACAAAGAAGCACATGCTTATTTACACATGTACTCACCTGCTCTCCTCAGGTGTGATGCTATAGTAGAGTTCCTTAAGACCAAATGTAAACCAGTTTATCAGATTATTTGCCTTTATCAACACAGAGGAATGTAAATACTTTAATACAGATGCACAAACACAAAAAGAAAAAAAAATATTGTTTGGAACTCTGAGTTTGAAGCTAATTGGTCGATAATGTATGTAGGCAGCAGAGAGCTTGTGTGTTTGGAGTTTGCACCTTTCACCTGCATTATCACACTAACACCTGAGAGAAAAAGAAGCCTATTTTTAACTGTGCGACTAAAAATGTGATGATTTGTGGGTTTAGTTTTTTAAGGATTATTTTATCTGTTGTTTTGTGTTTGTGTTACTGAAGAGTAAAAACTATTAACTTACTGGACAAACTTACTGTATATCAAAGGGCAATATAAATGTTATATATATATTTTTTTATTTTCTGCCTGGGGCAATGGATGCAGTGTAGCAAAGCTAATTCCATTTCATTTACATTGCAGTGTAATGCAGTGATGTTGATTAACATACATGTACACTGTCCCCATAAACGTATAAATGAGATGAAACTGACAGTTTCTGCTGAAAGCAATAACCACCGTGTTCTATGGTATTTGTTGTAGATGTTTTGTTTTATTTTTAATGATCTATTGATTCAAAGTAACTGTAGTGCTTTTTCATCGCACACCTACTTCAAATGAAGCAGGCCTTTTGTTTTTTAGAACTGTTGTAGCTCATAAATCATATATAAAAAAATATTTATCCCTGTTTGCTCGGTTCATTTGTTGGTGTTTATGTTTATTCACAGGTAATTTCCCAGCTGCGTATCCTCAGCCGATCAGTAGCAGCAGGTTCTAAATTCGACAGGGAGCTGTGGTCGAATAGCCTCTCACCGATTCTCAACTTATGGAAGAAACTCAACCAGGTCAGTTTGTTTTTTTATAGTTAATAGTTTTTACTCTTCAGGTTCCTGACCATACGTAAGATGGCTTTGGGTTACCTTTTTTGAGGAGAAAAAAGGGCAATCAATGTGAACTATTTTATTACTAATATATTTTTAAGGTGCTCATGCGGTACCTATTAGCTAAGAGATAAAAGAAAATTATTTGTCACTGGCTGAAATCGAGTATTAGCCCCTGGTTTGTGAAGGCAGGTAGCACTTCTGCAGTTGCTTGGAAACTGGCACCTTTAAAAAAAATCAAAGATATACTTTCATATTAAATTATTTAGCTTCTATACCCTTGTCCTCTTCCTCCGCTTTTATATTCTCTCTCATACTGTAAAGCACACATACTCAGTTCTCCTTTGCACCTTGTGTGTCCTATCAGTCTCTCCGTTTCCCCCTCTCCATCTTAGCCAGACTCGTTTTGTTCTTACTGGAACAAAAACAAATTGATTACTGAAGGTTAATCACTGCTGCTGTGTCACAACAAACTTCCCATAAACCTCAATGTACTTCTGATTGATTTCAGTGAACTGAAATAATGACCATCAGAGAATTGTAATATTTTTTTATTTATTTAGTTATTTTTTGTTGTTGTCTGTTAAAGTGGGTTTTGCATGTAGGAAAATATGTGTCCATGAACCATTTTGATATAAGTAAATTTAATAATTATAATGTGAACAAAATGAGAGAAGCACAACAGATGGCTGATATTTATTTGCTGTAACTTTTTTTAGCCAGTGAAACTGCTTTCTTTTGTATTTTATCATTATTCTTTGTCCTTTACAGTGGATACAGCAAGTTATCTTCATTCAAACACACTGAAGAGAGTTTGCTTTTCTCTCCTTACATTTATATTTAATGTACACAAGTGTCTGTCTTCTGTCAGGGTTCGTCTTTGATCCATCAGAAGGTGGACCCACCCACAGAAGGTCAAAGTTCACCAGTTTTATCCTTTATTGTTCTGGAGAAATTCAATGCCATCCGCTTGGTCCAGGTTTGTATCTGGGATAAAATATTTAATTTTCTTGAGATGAAGCGAATTTGTTATAATCAAATATAGCAGGAAATATTACATACTGTACAATGCAATTTAAATGTAAACATAGGAAACTTGGTATAAATCATGAAAGTGAGCTTTACTTAAAAAGAACATTAGTTTAATTGTAAGACATTCAAAAACTTAAATGATTAATAAAAAACAGAAGAGTAATTAAAATGAAATTTCACAACAAAAGAATACAGTTTTTTAATGTATATATTAACATTTACATCCATACAAAATGTGCTTGGTATTTTCTTTTTTGCAAGACACTTCCTTTAACTTTTTAAAGGTGTTTTTATATTTGTCAATAGGAAGTTTTTATGAACCAAATCCTTGTTGTGTAAAACACTCTGCACTACAGTTTGTGTTTGACTTGTACATACTTTCACAGAGCATCCACCAGTCTCTGGCTGCACTGAGCAAAGTCATCCGAGGGACTCAACTGTTGACCCCAGAGGTCCAAAAACTGGCCACTGCCCTCCTTAACCAAGAGGTGAGTAAGAGAGACAAACATATTAAATATATGAAATATTTTTAATATTTAAATTGCACTAAAAGACTTGTTACAGGTTCATTTTTTGATGTAGATAAACATCAACATGTGAAAAAAAAAACAATACAGAGAAAAGTGTGAAAAGGGATTTTATGTAGATATCTGTGGGATTCGTTTTTTTTTTTTTGTTTGTTTTGTTTTGTTTTTTCTTGCCTAGATTAGTTTCAATTTTCTTCTTTACAAAGTACAAAGCACAGAGACCTAACATTGTGTTTTCTAACAGGTTAGTACATTGTTATTAGATCTTTCTTTTTCCCACAAGGTGTACAGTTAGGGCTGCCTTCTTCAGTTACACTTTGATACACTGTTGTGCATTGTTCTTGAGGTAGAGTGAGAAGTTTTCACATTTTGTGGTGAAGCTGAGGCCAAAGGGGCAGTCACTCAAAGATTATACAGAGCTGACATGTCAATGTCTGGGAAACAGAGGACACATTTATGTATTTCCCCAGGGTGAGTTGAGGACAAAGGCAATATGGTGAGCTGGAGTGGAGGAGACGGTTAACTTTCACTTTTAGAGTGTATGTGTACAGATAAACCCCACTATAACTGCATTGGTCCTCTTTTTGTATTTGTCAGTATTATTTCAGCTAACTCTCTCCAGTTTTCATTTATCAGTATTTCCCATTTTTAATTTCTACCTTAGCTATTTAGTCTTTGATTTATTCTTACAAACATGGATTTAAATATTAATCAATTTTTTTTCTATACAGTGTTACATTTTGTTGATCTCAGGTAATTTTCCCATGACCTTCACTTAGTCTGAACCAAGTACTCCACAGGTTTGTGCTTTTGTCATAAGGATAAGGATGTACCGAGGTATAATAGTATAACATATGTGCAAGAAAAGAAATGGGAGCATCATTAAAAAATCAGTTTGAGAACAATAAAGTAATTGTTTAACTTAATTATCTAATTATGATGGTTGGACATCTAAATTGCAATTTTGTCAGGGAGCACGGTGAAAATGGAGGAAGCAGGTGCAGAACAGCAGGTATTGACAGACTGCAAATGAGGAGAAAACAAAAACATGAAACCTTAAGTTAAGGAGTGGAGCGGAGAATCAAATAAATCCAAAAACAGACAAACTAAAAAAATGGCAGAAAAAGCTCAAACAATATAAAAAAATCTGATAATGAACGAGGAAAACCAGACGGAATCTACTCAGAGGAAACAAATAACAAATGAACAGGTAAAGCCAGGCGAGATTTAAAAATCTGATTTAATAATCACCAGACATAATAGAAAATAAAAAGCTGTGGCTGCGAAAAAATACAGGATTTAAAAGTTCTTTTAGCAATTCCCTGGCATCTGACAGCAAAAATGTTATTTTTCTAGACTGGTATGAGCTGTTTCAGCAGCTAAATTGAACTTACTCAATGGTAGGTGTGTGGTCGTAATGTTGTGGTTGATTTTTTGTAAACACTGTATCTAAGAATTACTGCAGCGATTACCAGCTGGTGCCCCTTGGGCCAGAGCTCATTTCATCTGGCCTGCAAATTATTACTGATAAATCAAATGCAGTCCAACTCAGTGGTCGTTGGCTCACTCACAGTACATGATCAGGTCTGACTCTGACACTGAAACACGGTGGCAAGAAATCTTCCAGATCACCAGAGTACTCTTTTTAGTTTAGCTCAGTAGGATGTGAGAAATGTTAAAACATGGGAGGCCTGGGTTTAAACACAGGTTTGGGTATGCTTGTTTTTTTTTTAATTTTATTTTWTTTWTTTWTTTTTTTTTTTTTTGCCAATCTTGGCTTACTTAATCTTGGATTGAAAGTTTTCCTTTCTTTTAACAACACTGTTTTAGGTGTCTAAATCAAAACTCTTTATGTTACTTGGGAAAAAAAAGCATTCATCATATTTTTAGGAGTTTCTATAATGTACAAAATATGTGCAGTGATTTACAGTCAAAGTCACAAACAAAACTAATCAATTCAAATAGTGCAACCTCATCCAACTCTGAAAAAAAAATCAACAAGATGACAAATGTTATCCACTTCATTTTTTTCAGAAATTGATGCAAATATGACAAAGCTGTCATAATTATCAGAAAGACGGCTAATAAAAGTCTGATTTGTGAAATTCTGGCCCTTGGGCAAACTGAATCAATGGCTCTTGTGTTTTGTTTCACACTGCATGAACTCACTGCCAAATTTTTATCAAGCATCTGATGACTTTGGTGGCCACACTTGGCAGTCTCTTACAGCCAGTGCTCTACAAAACGAAGCAGGCACTGACAAATTGAAATGAAGAGAGCCAGTACACATTAATTTGGTATTTTTTTCACTTTATACTGAGGTCATTTTTCTCTTTGTTTTATTGTATTAACATAAGTCCCTGATTTTTTAAATAATAATACATGTATACATATTAAATCACTGTTGCCATGTTAGTCTAAATCACAAGGATAACCCTCATTAACCCAACACTCTTTTTAGCACTATGAGCTAAAGTTTTTAAGTACCAGTAATGCACATAATGACATATGACAGTGTTTTGTTTAACTCAAAACAATTTAATTACATTTTCCTGTTTACCAACGTTACACACTGTTGTTGCTATTGCATTGAATGAACTGAGGAGACTTTTCCAAACTAATTAATCTATTTAAATAAATTAATCTGATTTAAAACTTTCAGACCGTACCCTTTAGCCAGCCATGACTGGCCGTTTCTTAGAGAAGAACAAAGGGAGCTGAGGAGGTGGATATCTATTAAAAAAATGAAGCATTTGAGGTTATAATATGTAAGAGTCTGGATCATCTCTGCTCTTCTCATTTGTGCTCTAAAACACAATTAGATGCTTAAAAACTGCCTCAGCTACACATCAGTGGAAGTGGTAACAGCACAGTGAAACTAAAATAAGAATTAGCTTTGCCTTCAAACAGTGAATAAGTCATTATTGCAGACATGAGATAGTTTTTCTTTCTAATTCAAGGTTAATCAATCTTTGGCGTCAGTGATTTGTTTTTTTGTACCAGTTGTAATTATTAGTATGCCAATATTCTCCTTTTAGGCAAAAAGAGTTGTTCTCATTAAAAGCATTTGAATAATAGAAGAATGTAATTACTGTGCCACAGTTTGCATTCAGTGTGTCTATTTGTTTTCTGCCATCATTAACTTGTTAAACTGATCAATGATTAGAGAACATTTGCAAACGTGTGTTTGTCCCTTAGAGTGGCAGGAATTTAACTCAACACTGCATGTTCAGTGTGACGACAGACAAACACACAGCAGGACAGTGACTGAATGATTGATGCGCTGCTGAGAGTCACAAAGTGCCTTTTTAATTCTATTATGTCTTCTGTGTTTGAATTGCACCAAATTCACAGTCCGTAGCTTCCTGCTGTGAGGAATTGTTTGTGTGTGTGTGTGTGTGTGTGTGTGTGTGTGTGTGTGTGTGTGTGTGTGTGTGTGTGTGTGTGTGTGTGTGTG